TCTGATACCCGTTTCTTAACCACTTTAGGTCTTCAAAACATTGTTGCCTTTCCCACCAGGCTTGACGTGCATCTGGATTTGGGTTTTATCAATCATCTCGATTTACTTCTTGTAGAGCGCCGACCCCCCTGGGAATATCTGATCATTCTATGTTGAAGTTTTCCCCTACCGTGTTTAGCAGAACGAACCATCGTCTCTTTACTCGGAGTCGTGATCACAAGCTTCAAGTAAAACAGCGTTCTCCAGAAAACCTCACGATGTTAAGACAAATAATCAGACGCTCTGACCTTACTTAGTTTTATGATCCCAGGCCTTCATTTTTCTGTGATCAATTAGCAAGCTACTTAAACCTTTTTTACGATATCTGGTGTGCCTTAGAGACAATTTATATTCGTCCGATCGATTCTCTTCCCCACACCTCAAACAACGTCGTAGAAAGGAGCGGGCCTTCAAAATGCATAAGCGCGAAGAGGTGAGCTCCCTTTCTAAATCCATCCGGGTTGAACTTCGAAGGTTAAACTCTTTATACGCCCCAGCCTCCGCTTGACAAAGGGAGTCGTGAGACCTGGCAAGCCCTCATGCGGATTTCTGGCATCGAATCCTCACACCGCTTAACTGCTGCTGTGGGCATGGGTGGTTTGAATCAGTTTCATCAGCGGTAGAACCGCTCTCACTGCTCTACCTAATGGATGTGAAATTAACACCACTGATCCCGTCTCCAGCGTCGCATCTGTTGACATTTATCAAGAGTTGGCTCAATGAAATCCTCACAAGTCCTGCGGTCCCGACGGAGTCTCACCCACTGTCCTGAAAGAATATGCTGCCTTCCGTTCCCCAGAACTGAGTGAATTTTTCAATGATCGTATTTTGCAGCAAAGTATACCCGACCGCTGGAGAATAGCTTCTATCACCCATGTACCCAAGAAAGGATCCTCAAAATTTCGTCCCATTGCCTGCACCTCAGTTTTCTTGAAGGTGTTTGAGAGGTTCCTCCTCAAGACCATGTTCGCACAATTCAATGTTGTTGACCCGATCCAGTTTGCATACACCCATTCCCGTGATACCCTGGATGTCCTTCCTTATCTGTCTCACTATGTTTTATCCAACTTGGATAGGAAAAGCAAAGCTGTACGCATACGTTTTCCTAACCACAGTGAAGCTTTCAACACTATTGATCGACAAATTTTAATAAATACTCCCTTTTTGGGCGGAGTTCAACCTTCTAGGATTGAAATCTTGACAAACTATTTCTCCAACCGTCAGCAGTTCACACGCTACAGAGGTCGTACATCTTCACTGCTGCCCTTCTCAAAAGGTGCTATTTTATCCTCTTTTCTATTTTCTGCTTACATTTCCTCTATGCCTGTGGGCAATTCTTCCCTTCTCGTCAAGTATGCAGACGATATAATATTCGGACTGCCCTACCCCAATTCATCATTCCAAACGACTCTACAAGAGGACATGTCTGAACTAGTTGAGTGGTCACAACAAAGGAACCTCTGCATGAACCCCAAAAAATGTAATAACGTATTTTTTTCTTTTTGAAATGGCAAAAGTATGATGGATTATCAAACACCAGTCCGCCTTTATCTACCCTCAATGAGTAGATGGAACGATAACCGTCTGTCAAATACATCGGCGTTATTTTCAACCGTAATCTCACCTGGTCTGACCATGTCAATGATACTTTTCTGAAGGTCAGGAGGCTCACGTTTTATGTTCTACGTCTCAAATCACTTTCCATTCCAAACCATCTCATAAGGCGTTTTGCTTTTGCGTGCGTTTTGCCTCAATGGCTTTATGGGTCTCCTATAATCTTCCCAGGTCTTTTGAACAAGGACCTCAAACTCACTTCCCGATCCCTCAAATTTCTGTTAGTTTGTAGTCTCGTACCACGGGAACATCTAGTACAGCATGTGGTTACATATCACTTCAAGTCCTGTAAAACATTCTCCAACAAAATTTTATCTCATATCTCTCATCCTCTTTATTTCGCCCTCAGTGTCTTTTTCACCCATCCACCCGTTCCACTCACAAACTTTTAAAGACACACTGAAGCTTACAGGCGGTCTATTGTCCCTTATCTCGCCAGATTTCTAAGAAACCATGAACTTCTTGCAGGAAATCTGCGCAAAACGCTAAACGAAATCAATCATAAACACCGGGATATGGTTTTTGATGTTGCTGTCCTTCTTCACGTCCATTAATTGCTGTATCATACTGCGGTTGCTGTTTTTTCCACTTTTTGTTGACACACTATGGTTGTTTGGTTGCTGAATATCCACCTTTCGAGGTGGATAAAGCCATTCCTTGACTTGACTTTGTTGAAATGTCCCTTCGAAAGTGGACGGACACATGACAATCGATTTCTTTGAAACAGTAGCTATTTTCCGTTTCGTGCGAGCTGTTTGTGAGAATGCTGCAATCATTTTAGAATGCATTGTTTGCTTTAACCAGTTCGATTGTTCACAGGCACCGGACAATGTTGATGATTTTGGAATTGGGAGTGTCACTCAGGACTCGGAAAAACTGTCCAGCGCTTTTTGTCAATTATCACTTAAATTTCTGTAGCACCTAAATCCATTCAACGTGAAAGTTTGTCTATCTCCCAATGAGTGAAACCCACTTCCCAGATCTATAGTGCATGTGAGTACCTGTGAACAATCCGAAAGGTCAAACCAAACATGATGCTCCAAACCGTCCTCAAGTGTTTGAAAATATTTGCAAAACTCAGCCGTAGTTTTTGTTTTCGCACAGTTTATATATATTGAGAAAACGAGTCGGTGAGCGAACAATTGTTTTCGGATATTCCTAGTCATGCTCTTACATATCATATGGTGGAAAAAGTTCTTACATAGTCATAGCCATTGGCTCATTTTAAAATCAATATTCGGAGGTAGAGAGTAATGTGTGTGTGGGTGTGTGTGTAGGAAAGTTTAACGTGTTAGTTGATGTAACCTTTCCCCATTTGGGTCAAGTGACACGTCATATTCCGTCTTGGTTTTCACACACGGCCAAGGCAATTGGAGCGCCTGCACCAATACTTTGGAAAAATATTTTCTTGCGTCTCAGCCGATTAAATAGCAATTCCTTTATTCTTCGACATGGTTTGAGATACCTGTTCAATGTATTGTTTTTCTTGCTCTGTTTTTTATACACCAACCAAAAAGTCATTTTATCTATAATGAACCCGTTTTCTGCTTTGTTCTCAGGCAATAAGTAGTGGTTCGAGTGATCGACCAAACGATTCCCTAAATGATTACTCGATGATGTGAGTCATGTGGTTGCCCAGAGAATTCGGCGAAATTGCGAGCTGATTTTCAACTGTCATTTTCTGTTTGTCCGATAAAAAGCCGATTATCACTTACCACAATTCTGTTTGTCAAATGTTTCATCTCCAGGCAGATTTCTGAGTTTCCCAATAACTTCGCGTTGTCAATTGTCTAAACATGGTTTGCTCTTGTTTCTGATACAGGAATACTGCCAATGCCGTTCAGTGCGTAGATGTGAAATTTTGTAGGGTTTCTCCTTAGGAATTTTTAATAAATAATTTATCTCCCGTTAATAATGTTTGAAAAGCACCTTTGCGTGTATTGTCTGGTCTGTTTTGGTCGGTTTCCATTTTAATAAATAATTGAACGCACGTAATTTTCAACACTGTCACATACTCACACCAGTATATCGTCGTTAAGCTTGCAGACTTTCCTGAGTGAGCTGCATTACCAATTCGTAAATTGCTATCCTGCCATATCTCCCTCCTCCATTCCCACACATTTGATTCACCTCTGAAGGTTTTCAATCTCCCCCGTTCCGCATCGGGCATGAGCGAGGCGGCCGGTTCGTCCGAGCGCGGTGCTGTCCCGGTCGATCACAGATCAACAAATCGGTTTTTGTTCGCTTGGAATGAACCACACTATGCGAACTTTATGCTTCATGCCAACTCAGATTCTTCACAAGGTTTGTACACTGTGCTGGCGCACAGTTTGAGTCTCTTAGACGCGCGACACGACCCGCGCCTGGGATTGCCGATTGGATCATACGGTTCGATCACTTCTCGATCATACAGTCTTGCTCGTGTGGAAGGTACTGCTCACGGATTGTTGCTTGATGTGATTGGATTACCGGTACGTACTTTGTCAACTCCCAAACGCCCATATTAGTTTTATTGTCGGTCATGCATCTCTTCTAGCTTGGTATTTTTCGTATACGCCGTGCCTCCAATCACCCCTTGACTGAACATTTTCCAGATCTCTCCGTTAGTGTTCACTATTTGGAGGGCTGTTTGAAACATGCCACAGATATAGTTAAAACAGCAGTAAAAGATGTTAGCATCCACCTACCTCACTGCAAGATTATTAATGTCTATCGCATTTGGAATATGTCTCGAACAGTTATCTGAACAGGAGGGTCGATTGTTGCTCTGGAGACATTGGGTTATCGTTTTTTCAATTAACACATGAAGTATGTTTTTAGTTCTCCCTCATTGTAATTTATATTTGAAGCAGAGAGGCTGCTGAGGTGTGTCTCATGCAAGAAAAACACTCCAAGTCCTACCATCCAACGTTCCTGATTCATTTCTATGGCAGTAAAACAGTCTGAACAACCAGCCGTTGCTCACGTCAGAACCACTGTGCTCCAGTTCACACACCACATGCTATATGGGTACTTGAACGAGAGGTACAAAATAAAATGTGTTCGTAGGAGCAGGTCAGATTATTAGTTCATAGGTGCTTCTCCTATCCGATACTCCTTTGGTAATTTACGGAAAGTTGATCTTTTCGGGTAAAAGTCAGTTGTTCAATGCACCAACAAATTCTGCCGTTTACCGTTACGGTCGTTTGAGAAATTAATAAGCTTGGAATGTCACATACAGTTACAACTTTTCCTGTCCTATTTCACAATTATTTCTTCCCCAATCATGGTAACACGAAGCACTCAGTTTTATTTATTTGCTTTTTTCGGTTATTTAGGTGGTTGATAAAGTCACAGTATTCAGTCTGACTCCGAAGGATGTGCGTCCCGCTTCGCGAACACTTTCAGATCCCGTCCCACCCAGAGCCATTCCATGTGCACAACTGAAATTGTTTTGTGACACGTTTTTACAATTGGTGAAAGTCTGGGCCACATCACTCGCATCGCCAAACTCCTCGTTGCTTTGGTCCGACGCAAGCGATGCATACCTGGTGAGTTTCTGTGTTCCTCCAACAAAAATGAGTCTGTTCAGCGTAGCCATAATGCCTACTACTTGGCTCTTGTTTTCGTCTTTCCCAGCTGCACGCCGCAGTATGAAAAGTAGTGGAAAAGTGGTCATCCTCCATATGGTCGCATTAAATTTTATGCTCGGTCACTCCAAGCTGCCTAGGCCCTGGGACTTGTACCGACAAACCACACAAGTCCCTCATTGCTATTGGTTTTATACATGAATCTCGACTGTGTAAAAGCAGTCTACGACATTTTTGTCGGTTCATTTATGTGTGCATTACACCCCAGCAAACACTCGTATTTCAGACGAATCTGTTCGTTATCAATGGGCTGAGAAACTTTACTTTTTTTCAATTCGTTAGTTTCTTCACTAAATGGGTGTCCGTTTTTCCGAATAGTCTAGCATAATCTGTATGTGATGAACTCTGTCTGTCTTGATTTGTGAATCGGAACATCGGCAGTATTCCGCTAATGTTTTTTTCCTTTGGTCTCCGCCTCCCATTACGTCAGATCGATCACCTCACTCTGACGCTTCTCGCTCGTGACGGTCTATCGTCTCTACTATCACAATATTTGAAACGATTGCGCCTCAGTCGTCGCTGTTTGGCCTGCATTGTGGATGATTGTTTGTATGTGGACAGCACACTAGGAGCGGATCTGTTCGCTCGACTGGCTTCCCTAGCCTTGGACACAGTACCATCATTGATCCACCTAGCCGTGGGTCTAATGGATGACCCAGGCCTGTTTGACTCAGCAACCGCTGTCGGTGTCAGCTCCGGTGCTCAAAACGTCGTTTTTCATTCTCTGTACTCAACACTGGCTGATCACGTTTGTCCATTAGGTGGTTCGGATAAGGTGGCTCTGACGTAAGTCTATCTTTGACCCCAGAAAACGCTCCTTCCATTGTCCATTACTCTTTTCAACTGTGTATTTATCCAGTTCTAGGCGTTTAGGGATAACCGTTCGCCCAATCAATGTGATCTCCAAGGTGTCTACAAATTATCTTTCTTCGCTATATATCATCATTTCACAGTGCCAATGCGACAGTGGTGGAGGAATGGTGAATGGTGTATATGAACATAAAGGATAAACTCATTTCAGCTGAGAAGATCAACTCATCACTATGGCAAAACAGTGTGGAGAGTATCGAGTGTATATATATATATATATTCATAAACGTCTGAATCCAGACTGTGTGCCGAACAAGTCATGGTACAATAATCTTTATGAAATAGGAAAACGTTCCATAATTTGCATGTAGGTGGAATACTGCCAGGTAGCCCAGGCCAAGGCAGGTGAATTTTCTTGAGGAATCCACAACCGGAGCCTTTGGCTATGCCAAAGCCTGACCCGATGTTAGGTAGTTTACAACTGATCAGCCCGCTCATTGTAACCGTGGTAGAGAAATTATTCAATAATAATCACGAAAGCCCTTTAGTCCCATCATGCTTCTCCCCAGGTACCCAAATTTATTGTGATGACGATGATGCAGCTCATGAAACAAAATAAATTCTATTTACGAATTCGGTGAACTGTTTTTCTTAGAAAACGTGTCCAAGAGGATTTCGAAATACTACTAAACCCAGATCGGTTGTCGTCTTCGTAGTATATTCCGTGGCTCGCAGCTGTCAGACGGTTATAGTTTCGAAGCAAAGCCTAATTCCTTCTGTTTTGCACAGAAATTCAATTTATGTCGATATTTATGGGTCTTGGCTGTTACCAATACTCAAAGTCTTATGGGTGTTTTTTCATTCTTTGTTGAAACCATATTGAATGACTTACTACTTTTACTGTACTGCGGCTGGCTGCTTGGAAATGATAAGCCGGCTCCAGACATGACCATAATCATGATCACGAATTTCCTTGGGAGTTTGGAACGAGAGAGGTCCCGAAACACTCGGCGTTTTTTTCTTTTGAGGGCGCGCCTCCAGCCTCTGCACAACCAAGTGCGAATTGCAAGGCATCAGGAGGTAATTCCTGGCTTCGGAAGTGGGGGAGGGGGGTTAATGACTAGTTTTAAAAGGCCAGTCACATCGACCTTTGTCACAACACCGTCATTGGGCTTCGGCGGCTTTTAAACAGGAGCCAGGTGGCCAGCCTGAAACCCACCACACCCTGGTAGTGCCGCCGCTGTTTGTATGTTGCGGTATGCCACAATTTACTCACAGCTAACCTTCTTCAGTGAAGGTATCCCCTATCTACAACCCAGGGATGCGCCTGGTAGCAGTCAGCTCTGCTTGGCCTGAGGGGTATCTAGTAATTTTGGATTGCATTCATTTCACCATTAGGGATTACAGCAAATATCAATTAGATCATTTTATGGCTAGACCACACTGTGCATTTTCCATCGCTTCCTCGCCTGTATGCGACTCCCTCCCACTGCCTGCATTTATTCATACCGAATCCTGGGAATGTGATGCACATTGGCATTGCCAGTGTCACGATCGTTTCCTTGTTTTTCCGAGTGTTTTCTGTGGAGCACCAGAGTGATGATAATGACAGGCCGAATTGGTGCAGATCACAATGCTTTTTACGGATATTTGTTCTGTTTGTAAAAGGATCGATTGTCAGGTGGAAACCAGCAACGACCTCGTACATCACTGCTTGTTGTACGCAATCACTTATTCAGTGTAGCAGTACTCTCCGACCCGTGGCTAGCTACCTGAAAGTGGCGGGTTTGTTTATCATGACGCCGAGGTGTACTTCGGCACTGCACGAGACCTGGACCTGGACCTGCATGGTTCCGGTTTACTAGAGCTGATTGTGTTGATCTTGAAATTGGATGATTGTTTTGGGGAAGAGGTTTAACGTTCCCTTATTACTCCTGTGATTCATAGCGAAAGCTAGATCAGCTTTCGTCAATCTTCGACACCCGTGGCGCTGCGATGACATTCGACCGTCCCTTATGGAAAGGGTGTACATCGCTGCGGTTCGTAGTGTTCTGCTTTACAGTTGTGAAACCTGGCCTCTCCGAGCGGGCAATGCTAATCGACTTTACCCACCGATACCTTCGAATCATTGCCCGTGTCTGGTGGAAACATTGTGTGAGCAATGATTAGGTCCGTCGTCATGTGTTGGGGGCTTATAGTCGTTTTCTAAAAGATGTAATATGTGCATCACCTCCAGTGGTTTTGTCAAGTTTTACGTATGCCTACCCATCTTCTCGCTTGCCGCGTTTTGGTAGGATGTGCTGAACAGGGCTGGAATAAACGTCGCCGCGGCTAGCACATGACATATGGTATAGGTATGCAAAAGTTACCTTCAGAATTGGCTTTTTATGGTACATCCCGACTTTCACGTTGGGAACCAAAGGCCGAGAAAGGTTGTGATTTAGAGATGCGGATATTTATAGCTCAGAATACAAGTCATTGACGCGATTCCTATACGTTGTTTCTTAGGAAATCTTATGCTTCTTAAAATGTTGAAGAAATATACATCAAAAGGTCTACAGCAAAACAAACCAAAAGAAACACTGTTGTTCTTGTCCCTTTGGTTCTTTGTAATTTTATGTTCGTCACCTCTTTCTTTGTACCCCACTATTGTTGGTGTTATGTCAGCATCCTACTGGCTCGAATTCCCTATATATCACCGTAGATGGTGTTGAAAAGGCTAAACATGGATTGTTGAATGTTTCTTTGGGATCTGTAATAGTAGCACAGTTCATTCACCGGTCTGTGATTAAATTGTCTCTGTTGATATGCCACATTCCTTATGGTTTTGTGTTATACTCATTTTCAGGCACTTTCTCCGGGGTTTCCTCAACGTAATTCGGTCGGTGGTTCCCGATCTTCACATCAATTTGGGTTTCGGTGTGTCTCTCTCCTCTGTTGTAATACTGCAGCTGCAAAACTATCTTACTTCACACGGGATTCGTAAACAGCGTGCTATGCGCCTGCTTCGTTCTCTATGTGAAACAGTTCAAAAACCAGAACCCATTGTGTCTGTGGCACCATCTGCCGCAGAGACAGCACCTACTTCTGTCTCAGCCCCTGCACCTTCATCGGCATGCGCAAATGTATCTGCGCCTTCACCAGCTCCCTCGTGTACGCGGGTCCTCACCAGGCCAGAAACTTCGTCTGGCACCCAATCGAACTTGAGCGTCCGCTCCACCGCACCTACCGCGGTACCTCCAGGCACTGAGACGGCCCAGATCAGACCAAGAGAACCATCGTCTCCTACTCAGCCAACCGCCGAATCCACCAGTAACTCAGTCTTTGAAGAAGAACACAGCTCAACCCCTCCTACTACTGATGAGGAAAGGGTACCCGTCCCAGAAATCCAAGTCCTGCCTCATTCAGTGGGTGCCAGCACGAGACGCAATACACTGCTGGGTGGTCTCACTGGTAAGTCAATTATGTTTCCTCGCACTCATATATATTACTGAGTTACAGTTAAATTCCCTCCAAGTCACCACAACTCATAATAATATGGTAACCGGTACCATGGAGATCATGCACTGCCTGAACGTAAGTGGTTCTAAAC